CAACACCAACACTTACTTTACATGGAATTTATGATAATTTTAATTTAACTTATTTTCTAAATACATGTTGATAAATTCATGAAAAATAATAAGAATAAAAATATTTAAATTATAATATATAATTCTAAAATAATAAAAAGTAAACAAACACTTGTGATATGTAATAAAGAAAATATAATTGTTGCATCTTTAGTATGTTGTGTGAATTATATCTGTCACAATCCGGCCATTCTAAAAAATTTAATGATCGATATATAAACAAAAATTAATAATAAGATTACCCATTAGGCATTTTCTTTTCAAAAATATATTATTATATAAATATGGGCCAAGAAATAAACTAAAATGGGAAAAAAAAACTATGCACATACGTTTAAATGGTCTCTTCAAGATTTTAGAAAAAGCTAAAATAAATTGTACTGACGAAATATTAACAAAATTATACAAACTATGTATTTTGGCCAAACAACATACTCCTAATCACAACAAAATCAATATGAAAATGCCTAATATATAACTGGAAATTAATTAAAAATTGAACGACATATATGTATTTTCCTCTCCATACTTCACAATCAAAGCTATTTTAATGTATTTTGAATATTTTTTTATGATTACGATATATAATGCTCCATATGAATATATTAGAACTCTTTAAGAATTAAATATTTTAATAGATTTTTTTTGGAATTTATTTCGTCATGTTTTCTCTTTTTAAGTTATCGATCGGTTGAAAAAGTAAATATGGATATATTTAATAAATATGAGGTTATAATTAAACTTGGACTGGTCCACCAATCAATAAGAACAATTTAATAATCATTTGTGAAGATAGGAAAAATGTAAATTAAAAATTGGATTGGAAATTTACAATAATAATATTTTTAAATTAGCCTTTAAAAGAAACAATATATTGATATTATTTGAATTATATATAACTGCTAGGTTTTCAGTTTTTATGCTATAAGCTTTTATTTTGCCGCATTATATTGGTCTACATAGAATTTGACGAATTTGTTTCAAATTTATTTGACCATGAAAATTGGAGTGAAGTTTCCAATGTGTTATTATGTACTATAAATTTAATTCTATTGTTATGGTTATGAAACCTAAATCTAAATAATTTACTTCCCAAGTAGGTTATCCGCAATTTTTTAGACCTATTTTCACTTGGTTTAC